ATGTATTCTTAATGTTTTCTAGGTAGGAAACTTTCTACAGTTGCCTTCTGTCCAAAATTTTGGGACTACCTCTATCCTACTCTTTAACTATAATGCAGGGGGGGAACTCACGGGGAAGTAAAATATACTACAACCTTTAATAATGAAATTATTGCTTATTAATAATGAAGCTTGAATTTAATTTTCTTCTCTTGGTAGCTTCGAATTCGTAGAGATAAAAAAGTTTGTTTACGCTTGGTAACTTCTTAGCCTGTAATTTACTTGAAAAGCAAAACTATACCATGTTTTAACTTGATAGTGATCCGTGCCCGATTCTTTATAACTTTCCTGCTTTCCTTCCCAATATTTTGTTTACCAGCTCTTAAGATTTTGCTAAACTTTCAACAAGGGTTGTCATGCCCAGTTCTAAAGTGTAATAACTTGGAACGTGGCTCGACCGATAATGCAACCATTCGGCCAAATTCACGCCTCTAGATCATCCTGTATATAGATTTAAAGCCAAAGCTACACTATAGAGCATATAACTAAGATAATAAAAGAAATATATAGATGAATAAATCTCCAAAAAGACGGAGTCCAAATACGAGTTCACAACTCTCCACAATCGGAAAGAGTAATAAAAAATTTACATCATAGTCTAGAAAAAAAGTCACATGTGACTCAAGAAAAAGTCTAAACTAAATAACTATCTAAACCAACTGAACCGGAGAACTGATAGAATAAACAGTGACCACTGCCACTGAGCGTTCTCCTTGAAATATTCTCGGTCATGCGAAGAAAGAACGGTCCCCGAGTCTGGGACGCGCAAACCACAGAGGAGTCAGAAAACTCCCAACAAGCATGTAAAATGAAAGAATTGTGCGCGTGTAAGTGTATGCGGCAGGTATAAAGAAGAGATGAAATCTAAATTAAAGGTGACTAAACGAAATGCTACTTGTAGATATTAAGAATAAGTCTATCACAAGGCATACAAGCACATTATTATTATTTTACATGCTATTTAAATTAGAGGAGAATAATATCATGTATATCAATCAGGTTCCCGTAAACCATCCCGGGAACACAGTTTCAAGTCTAAGTATTGGCCCTTGGCCCTTATATATAATTCAGGATATCAAAAATGCGCATGAGCCCGCTTATATACGCGTTATTTTCTCCATCCAATTCCTTTTTATAAAACCCGCATTTATCTATTGATTTTAAGTGGTTGTGCATGAAATATTATTCACTAACCACAGAGTTTCCGTGGAACGACTTTCATAAAACTATAAAAAATAACCGTGACTAGAACATGCCCAATCAAGATGGATGTATCTTCTAATTGATGCTATTATATTAATGGTAATAATCGAGCGAAAACTCACACCGAGATATCGATATCGAGGGTATAGTCATGCTATGATAGCACGCTTATGAATCATATTTTGACAAAAGTCGTCTTCATACACAATCGACCCTATTAAATATCACTAGGTGATCAAACATGGTATCAAGTATTCATCATCAAATGACATATCTTTACTTATCAAAAAGGAAAAGATAAATAATTAACATCATTATTTAGTGTCAGAAAAACTCAACGGGTTTGGTTTAATGGCTTAAAGAATTGACAAGTTTGATTTTAGTGAGTAAAAGGTCCAAACGGGATTTGAAATTTGAGTCATAAATCAAAATAGGTCTGGTATTTGATATTGGGTCCTAATTGGGTCAAACGAGTTTGTAATTTGAATTATAAACCCAAACGGATTCGAAATCTGATATTGGATCCTAACTGGGTCGGGTTTGAGTTCACAACAGACCCATATAGCTTTTTAAAAAAAATGAAGTGCAAAGGATTCGAACCCAAGACCTAAGAGCTAATAACCAAGCCCCTTAACCACTATACACAAGGGTCCTCTGTTTTAGGACTGCTGCAAGAATTGTTTACATATAGTCTCAATTAACTATGATTCTACCAAATAAAAAGATAAGTAAAAGTATTTATAAAACTTAAATACTCTGTTGTGGCCGAAAAATATAATAAGTTTATTACCTGGAAAAGGGAATTTAACAGAAATGCATAACATAACTATAGACATTTTAACCATGTATGGACACCTAAGGAAAGTATAACTAGGATGCCCTACAACAAGCCATATCCACATGAATTGATACACGTGGAGGAAACTAAACATTAAGAGAAATTCCCTAAATATTATAAATAACAAATTTAAAGTTTGAGAAATATAAATTCGTTGTTGGGGAAAAATAATTCTCATGCTATAACCAAAATGTTCTCATGAATTAAACATATACTTAAACCATCATCAACATATAAAGATTCTAATCAACTAGAAGCATAACATGCTAGCATTATCTACCAAACATCTATATTTTCACAAGCTATGAAAGGATTTATGAAGATGAAACTTTTTGAAAAGAAAAGGGAAAGGAAAAAAAGGAAAATATGCTTGCTGATTTGTGTCGAAAAAGAACTCCAAGCAAAGATCCTTCACTCGCCTCCTAAGATGCAGTCGTTGCCCCTCTTTTCTTTTTATTTTTTTATTTTCGTGAGGTCTCTTTATTTTTTTATTTTCGTGAGGTTTTCAGATGGTAAAGAAAAAAAAGGTTTAAAGGATATATGTTTGTTGAGGATAGACTTGGTGGTTAGAGATTTTGTAGGATATGAGGGATTTTGTTGTTGTGATTTCAAATTTGTTTTTTTGTGAAACATGGTATTATGGTAAAAAGAAAAAAATTCGGTTTTTTATCCACGTTCTCTCTCTCTCTCTCTCTTGAAAAAGAAACCAAAGATATCATAGGGAAAATAGGTGCAGATGGGTTTAAACTTGTTCAAGGGCTTTGGTTGCAAATACCAAGGTTTTAAATATCGGTTATCAGGGATTTATCGGACGGTCAAAATCCTTATCAGATAGAGAAAATCGGGAATATATCGGGGATAAGTAGTATTTATCGGAGTGATATACTAGATGGTGTATATATATAATATAATAACCAAAAAATATAATCTAACTATACTTAATGAAATATAAACATACCAAAATATAAATAATAATTTTTAGAATCACTAACCAATTGTAGAAAACGAGTCGGGTCGGGTTTAACAACTCACTAAATAACTGCCCATTACCCGAAAATTCAACTCAAAATTTGGCCCGATAAAGCTGATATTTAGAGCCTCCCTTATCGACCGATAAGTACCTTTATCGCCAATAACTCGCCGATAAACCCCAAAAGTTTATATTATGGCTGGATTTGTAGATCTCCTGACACATTTATTTGACCCTGCTCTCCTTCATGCTTATTTGCATTTCAAACTCTGATATTTCATCGAATTTTTTTGTTGACAGTCACGCAATTTTGAGCTATCTTGCTTGTGCTTATCCAGGAGTTGCAGATCACTGGTATGTTATCTTTATAATTGCTTTATGATCACAACTATTCATACCTTTTGCTCAACGCGGATTGTTTCAATCATCTTCCTAAAAAAGGAACCTGAACTTTTTGGCTTCTTTCTTTTCATGGAATTAAGAGATTCTTTATTTGAAGTTGATATTCTTATTATCAAGTACTATTCACAGCCAGGAGGTGGAACATCCGATTTTAGATAATATATATTGTTTTGGTGTTGGGTGGTTTAAAATAATAAATAACAAATTTTCATATTCTTGTTGGATGACCTTTTGGTGCTAGCTTAATTTCACCTAGTAATTCTGTCAAGTATCAATCTGCATCCACCATGCAAGAAGCAGAGGCACGGGCATGCTCATACGGTCACAAAAGGGCGCATTGGCCTCCATACATCTTGTTTGCCTATAGTGATTAGGGAATAAGAAGGCGGAGAAGGGAAGAAGAGTTAGTAAAATAAAGGGCCAGCCTGCTGCAGAAAGCTACCCCTATGTGCGAGATCCAGGGAGGAAAGAAGAATTAATAATAAATTATATTTGAATCTGCACAGAAAATGTTTTAACAGCTTATTCTGAGAAAATGACTGAAAACTTGGGCTATTGACCGAGGACAAGATAACAATTAGTTTACCTTGTTAAACTGCTCAGCCTCACATTTACTGTTTAAACAGGAGGCTTCATCTTTTTGGCAACCAGCAAGTAAATAGCAAATAGAAACTGACGAGAAAGCACTTTATCCAGGAAGTACTTTCTTCCCACTTTCTACTTTGTCATTCTTGTTTGGATGATGGAAAACAGAATTGTAGAAATTTGATGTGATAAACGTGGCATCCACGTTTTCTTTATATGCACTGTTTGGTTTCTATGGAAACGTATAGTGGAAAGTAGATTTTTTTAGACAAAATATGTTATTGACATATAGAAAGTGACAATAGAAATTTATATATAGTTAACATGGTGAGCTTACTCCATAATTGATATGAACCCTAGGCTATGCATAATCTCATTATCTATGAAATGATTATCTAGAAAGTGACAATAGAAATTTACACATAGTTACCATGATGAGCTTGCCCCATAATTGATATGAACTCTAGACTATACATAATCTCATTATCTATAAAATAATTACATGCTGACCGTAGTGTTTTACACTCAACACATTGAGCATGAGTATACCACGTAAAAATTAAAATTTTCCTAATACATTTATTACGTTGAGCTCAGGTATAGAATCCAACAATAGTACTCTTATTTACTGCACTATGATAACTAGACACCAAACGCACAAGCTGGTCTAATGTAAAATTTTAAGGAGTATGTTGAAACTGCTATGGGCAGATCCACTCTGTGCAAAGTGCGGTCATGTGACCCCACTTCGCATAGAGGGACTAGGACTCCTACCCCTACTAAGAATGAAAAAATTAACATCAATTCAAAACCCAACACATAGTGACCCCCCGCTAATAAATTGGTGACACCATAAAATTGCACAAAATTTTCACTCATCCCCACTCACTGAAAAATATCTATTCTCAGGATCTCTTCTCATCGCGAATTGAAAATTGCGATCTCTTTCTCCCTCTCTTCTTTCAACAGCTCTAGTAGAATCTTGCTGCCTCCTTCCCTTCTCTAGTCCTTCGACCCTAGGTAGATTGAGATGATGAAGGACCAGGGTCCGACTTTCTTCTTTCAAATAGTGTCGCATAGCACCACTCACTGATAATAAATAAATAATTGGATTAAGATTTAGGTAAAACAACACTAATACATTAATTCGATGATGTACTTTTTTCACAATATGAAAACTCATCAGGAACAAATGTAAACTTTTTAATTATTAATTATATAGTGATTCCACTTCTCAGAAATCCTAGATCCGCCACTCAAACTGCATAGCTATTTACACTAGCATTGTGATGTAATTAAAGCTAATGAAAAAAATTTCACAAGCAAGCTGGGTGGGAGAGTCAGCTCGAGAACCTAGATATTACGGGTTGGTCTCGCAAGGGTTTGATAGGGAAGGTGGGAGAGTCAGCTCGAGAACCTAGATGTTACGGGTTGGTCTCGCACTGGTTTGATAGGGAAGAGATATAAGAAATGGAGAGGTTAAAAACTAAAAAATAAAACATGCTTAAAAATTAAAAAGTGAAGATAATAAAGAAAAAATGATTTCTCTCTCCTCTCCCTCTACTTTTCATCCACCTTCTTTAATTTTTGGAGAAAATGAAAGGGCCAAAAAGCTGACATGGCACCCTTTACTTCCAGTCACTTGCCAAACACTTTCCATGTGCTAAACAAGGAAAAATTGAGAGTGGAGCAACTTTCCTATTTTGGGTACATTTTCCATTTATTTTCCGGTTTCCAAACATGCCTGGCAACATTATAATGAAACTATTATCATACTTTCTAGTTTCGACAACAAAATTTAACTTTTCATTTCATCTTTCTTTCACAATCAAAGTTTCCCCATGTAGTTCATTTGATTTTTTCCCTTATTTGGGCAAGGTATCCTGCTGATCTTTTCAAGAGAGCCAAAATTAACGCAATATTGGACTGGCATCACTCCAACCTACGTCATGGTGCAGGTATTAATCTTTTAACAATTCTAATATCTCGGTTGTTACTTTATCCAAGTCTTTTAAATTGTGCAAACAATTGATGAATTTTTCCTTAATCAATTGAGAAAGGCAGGACTTTCTGCTAGAATCCCTCAAGATCTTTCTTTTTTTGGATATCAAATCCCTCAAGAACTTAATTTGACATTTATTACTTGGAAGTTACTTATGCAAACTATGAAAAGATTTTTATTTAAATAGAAGTTCTGAAACAAACAAACGCGAATATACAATAACACTTAGATTTTGGTTACAGGTTTAAAGAGTTGTAGATAATTGTCAGAATAGAAAGACACAGGGGATATAACTATAAACTTAAAGGGAACACACCCTAAATTCTAATTGAAAACTCATCGTGTATAGATGTGATCTATTGCATGTCAACTACCTATGATTTAAACATCGTTTAACCATGTATCATATGTTGTCAAAATCAAAGTTGTTAGAAGTTTATAAAATTGATTAACTTTTCGCCCCAAGATACGTGATTAAAAACATGTGATATTGTGGGAAATCTTGTTTCTAGGCTGGCATGTTTTTTGCATCATGTTGTCAAAATCAAGTTGTTAGAAGTTTATAAAATTGTTTAACTTTTCACCCCATGGTATGTGATTAAAAACATGTGTATTGTGGAAAATTTTGTTTCTAGGCAGACATGTGTTTTGCATCACATCCAACAGTACAAGTTTGCAATTTGGAAACACAAGTTTTAAATTTGAATAGATAGAATCTACATCTTGGATACTCCCTCCCTCCCTCCCTCTTGAGTGTTTTTTGCGTTTGTATATATGTTCCTTAAATGCATATGACCGATTTCTACGTTCTAACAGTAGAGTAAGACAGTAACTACATATGCTTTTATGACTTTGAATTTTGAATTGGCCTTGACACTCATCCTTCTGTGACATAACCTTAAATGTTGAATTATATTTCTAAATTTTATCATGAGTGTATACAAGTCACTATTTATGACTTTCCAGTAAATACTGTAACATATGAATGGTTATAAAGGCATATCTCAACATGCAATTGTGTGAAGAAGTGTTTTACTAAGAGGCATATTGAAAATAACTTAGTGTATGTTGTAGCACAAATCCCACCAAAATAGCTTGCTCAGCCTGCATAACTTCATATTTATACTTTTCTGTATCAATGCCATGTCGGGGCTAAATATTTACTAAACAGCAAATATCTTGTGCAGAGACCTTTGCTATATACAGTACACTGGCACCTTTATTTGGTCTTCGATTGAACTCACAAGCAGCAAAAGAAGGTGAGAAACTTCTGATGTCTTCTCTTTCAAAGATCGAATCCCTTTGGCTTAAAGGAGATGCAAAGTTCTTACTGGGAAACCTTCAGCCATCCATCGCTGATCTCAGCCTTGTTTGTGAAATTATGGAATTGGAGGTAAACAGCTCTATCCTGCACAACTCCTTATGAGAAAATTCCTTTGATACTTTTACCGGTTAATTAAGGCATGCCACGGACAATCAAGTGATAATAACATACCGATGGACATTAATTGCCAGTCTTTTACATGTTGCAAATGCTGTAATAAATTGCAGAATCATGATCAGAATTGGCTCAACTCTTCTATCCACTAGATATTAAGTGGTATCATAACCTCATGAAAGCTATTTCAGTCTTTCCTTTTGAAGTCTTTATGATCAGACATCCCCATGCCTTATATCACCATCTCTCAATAAATATGCCTGCCTGTTGCTAGGCGACATGATTATTATTTATTTTTTGATTTGTAATCTTTGGAGTTGCCTGGTTAGATGCATTTATGTTCGGGTTAGTTCCAGAAAACCCCCTGCACTTTTTTAATACACTAGTTCTTATGCACGTGCAATGCACGTAGTTAAATATCAAAATTATTTATTTTTTTGTTTATTTTCTTGCTATAAGATAAGTTAGATTCATCTTGAGTTAATCTTTAAACATGGATTATTACATTTACCATAAATTTTATTTACATATTTTTTTTTAAATTTTATGAAATAGATTTGCATGTAAAACTGGGATCAATATACTTTTATATACTTGCATACACAACATTATTTTTTTAAATTTGTATATATCAAACTTCATGTAACATATTTGTTTATCGGATCAAATCGTCGATCTCCAATTTGTTCATCTTAGCCATTAAATGTAGTGTTAAGTTTGAAAAAATATACAATAATGTATTGTTGATGTGTTAATAAAATATAGCCAAATACTTACTATTAAGATGGTTTGTATAAGCTCAGCGCAGTGTACATACTTTTCACAAGACTACAAGACATCTTAATTATTGATAGACTTAAAATAAAAAATAAATACTAAATATTACTGGTGACGCTAGTATAATTTTATATGACAAAATCATTCACATAAGCATATTAAAAATTTTGCATCAAAATCCCTTCTGAAGATTCCTAATTTTACTCAAAAAATTAAGTTCTACTATAAAATATTCAAAAAATATTATCATTTGTTCTTTCTTTTTCATATTTAATTGAGCCGAAATCAATCATTCTCCACCTTTATCTTTTTCTTGGGTAATTCTACAATAGTGTTTTCATCGTCTATATCAATTTTGATATCAGGTTGATATATAATAAAGAGAAAAAGACAATACAAGAGTCCAGAAATATATTAGGATATACTTAGATCAATCAAGTTATATTATTACTCATAATTGATATGTATCAGAGATAAAATATGTTGACGATCTTAAACTATAAAACAGACTGTATGAGCCCTCTAACAGAACTTTTTTAATGCAAACAACCCTCAAGATTAATTTTGAAAAGCTCTTGGGGTCAGGAATAAACAACTACCAAGTTTGCAGTGAAAGCTAGGAGAATGCATTACACTCTTAAAATTATTAATCTTTTCTTAATCTGTTTATAATAACAGGATCTCATTATTAACTAACTACAATATCTAGTACATTATTTTTTTATTGGATGTTCAAGGCAGGCAAAAGACCCAAGTGAGTCATCATCGCAATGAATGTTATATAATTTAAGTACAAAAAAATGAGGATTGATCAATGATATAGTTGGTGAGGGGAAAACTCCAACAGCTTAATTTGGGTACGTGGATATATTATAGATGGAGATGGAGAAGTGTGGTTTTGAAAACAGTGAGTGTGTGGGGTAATTAATATGGCTTTTGTTTGTGTGGTTTTCTTCATTCATTTTCAAGATATATGTAGTCCTGTGGATATATATAGTTATAGAAAAATTCTTTAAGGACCCAAAATATAAAACCAATAGGGGGACAAGTGAGGTGTCCCCCTTCTATTGGATAATGAGTTGGCCATCATTAATGATGGTCAACTCATTATCCAATAGGAAGGGGACACCTCACTTGTCCCCTGTACAAAAAAATGAGGATTGATCAATGATATAGTTGGTGAGGGGAAAACTCCAACAGCTTAATTTGGGTACGTGGATATATTATAGATGGAGATGGAGAAGTGTGGTTTTGAAAACAGTGAGTGTGTGGGGTAATTAATATGGCTTTTGTTTGTGTGGTTTTCTTCATTCATTTTCAAGATATATGTAGTCCTGTGGATATATATAGTTATAGAAAAATTCTTTAAGGACCCAAAATATAAAACCAATAGGGGGACAAGTGAGGTGTCCCCCTTCTATTGGATAATGAGTTGGCCATCATTAATGATGGTCAACTCATTATCCAATAGGAAGGGGACACCTCACTTGTCCCCTTTATTGGTCCCATATTTTGGATCCCTGTAGCAAAGTTCATAGTTATAGCATTACTATTCTCTTTGGGCTTTGTGGAAGAGTTTGGGTGAAAAAAATAAATTATCTAATCCGGTTAAAGTAGGATCATATAAGTTAAGCTCATGCATAAATTTTTTTTAACCAACACTAATATGTAAGTATTATAATTGACATTGAGATCTAAAATACGTGTGAGATTCTCTTTGACTTTTATACAAATAGTATCTTTTAAATAATAAAAGTATAATTAAACTTTGTGATCTAAAAAACGATTAAATATACAATATAATTAATTGCTTTAAAATAATATGATCTAATCTAATAAGAAGAAAATAGATTAAAGTGATTTTAAAATTATTACAATTTCATAATTCATAATTTTTAAACAGTCTAATCTAATAATCTAATCTAATATGAAGAAAATAACAAAGACACATACTTGTTGAAGGAGATGAAAGTATTATGAAAATTGTTATAATTTCTGATATAAAAAAATATCAAACGTACGATATAATTAATTGTTTTAAAATAATCTAGTCTAGTCTAATAAGAAAAAAATAGATGAAAGTGTTATGAAAATTATTGTTATTTCTTAATATGAAAAAAGATTAAATATAAAATATAATTAATTACTTTAAGATAATCTAATCAATCTAATAAGAAGAAAATAACAAAGGCACATATCTATAGAATGAGATGAAAGTGCTATGAAAAGTATTGTAATTTCTTAGCTTATATATATTGGCATATGCTGTTACATGTGAGAGAATAACAATTATAAATAGAATTCTATTTAAATAATAATAGTATAATTAAACTTTGAAACTCATTATGCACTACCGTGAACTACTTGAAGTTTAATCGGTGAGAGATCGTCATGTTGTGTCCTCAGATCACAGCCATTTATTTTAATTTTTCTTTTTTATAATTTTGAGAACGACTCCTGTCTCTTTAATTTGTTTGGTGGATTTTGCAAATATCTCATCCATATTATGTACATTTATAGATCTGCACTGTTTCTAGGTTCAACCTTTGGGGCAGACATTTTTTGTCTCGTTGATTTGTTTGGTTTTTTCATATACGCCATTCATCTTGTATACATTTGTAAAGTTGGCATTTAATAATTTCATTCATGTTTACAGTTCAATTTAAACTATATCTCTATCTTAATACTATGTATATCCAATAGGAATTCATCAATTTATCAACTTACTACTAATGGATTAGTATTTGAATTAATTCAAGGGTATTTTTGTCTACCGAAAGATTTTCCTGAACTCGTGCTTTTAAAAGGAGTATGATTAAACCCTCTAAACTTTAGGGGTTATTACACATAACCCCCTAACTTTTTTATTCCTCTAAATTTCACTTGAAGGATGGATTAAGGGATTTGGCAAGTAAGGGTTCCACTTTTTTACATACAATATGGACATATTCCCAGAAAGCTCAGAAGTCCTTTTTTTCTTGCACCAAATTAATCGACTGGTAAATATCTTACAGGTTGTTGATGATGCACATCGACAAAGAATATTGGGTCCTCATAAGAAGATCGTGCAGTGGATTGAAAATGTGAAAAACTATACAAACCCTCATTTTGAGCAAGTGCATGAAGCTCTCTATGAAGTGAAGAAGACGCTACAAAGTAAGTCGAGCTCTACAGCAGGGTTAAATTCAAAGCTTTGACATGCTGGAGGGAGTGTTGTTTGTCATCCATAAACATATCACAAAGCTGTTTGCAGCGTAATCACTTAGTAACTTCCAATGCTTGTTGGAAGCCACTATCCTTGTACAACTCTGTTGCTTTCTTGCCTTGTCTTGGAAATGTATGTGACAAGAAAATATTTTTGTTGCTTATCGTTGTGAGACATAGTTTTGCTTCTGAACTTCATAGAATTGTGTTCGTTTACTATAGCAGAAGAGTCTGAAATGAAGTTTCCAACAGAGAAAATGCAGGTGATAAATTGACCTTTATGAAAGTTAAAAATGAGTTGCTTGCTAGCTTTGTGCAGGTTCAGTCTCTGATCAGTGTCGGTCGTAGTTGCAAAGGTGCTGCGACTTCAGTGTATCTGAGGTAAAATAAAAGAGGCATCAGCTGCCTATTTTTCTTTAGAAAACTCAATGAAACAACATATCGAACCTAAAAAGTTACGGATACATGTACAACCTCATTTATTAGAGAGGCAACAACTCTCAGTGTTCCAATTGATATCTCCCTCAACCCCTCAAAAAAATGGCTATTACATCCTCTTATCACGCAATAAGAGGTAAAATAACTCATTATCCTTCTTGGTATACAAGTACTTCCCAAGTTGCCTTCAAGATCATAAATTATTTGCCTCTATCAAACTACACCCAGGAGCTTTCCTCAACCCCTTCTCCTTCAGCGTCTCTCTCAAACTTTCAGTGTCTTCCCATCTCCCAACAGCAGCGTAAATATTACCCAAAAGCACATAATTCCCTGTATTCTCCGGTTCTAACTCGAACAACCTCTTAGATGCAATCTCCCCCAATTCCACATTCTCATGAACAGCACAAGCACCGAGCAGTCCTCCCCAAACCGCATGATTCGCCTCAAATGGCATTGACCTAATCACCCCATAAGCCTCTTCGAGCTTCCCTGCTCGTCCTAAAAGATCGACAACACAAGCATAATGCTCATTGTGAGGTCTCAAGCTGTGATCTTTAACCATTCTCTGGAACAAATTTAGACCTTCGTCGATTAAACCAGCATGGCTACAGGAATAGAGCAATGAAGTGAAAGTCACTTCATTTGGCTTGATTCCAGATAGAATCATTTGATCAAGCAGCCAAATCGCAGTTTTAGCATGCCCGTGCATTCCATAGCCCCCTATCATAGCGCTCCAAGATACGAAATCTTTGACAGATAGAGCTTCAAATAGATTCCATGCGATATCTAAGCATCCAGCCTTAGCATAAACATCAATCAAGCCTGTAGTAATTTCATAGCTTTGAAGAAACCCAGTTTTCATTAGGTAACAGTGTAAATTCTTGGCTTGCTGCATATCAGCAGAGTAGGAATAAGCAGGCAATATGCTCGCAATTGTGGCAAAGTCTAGACTCACTTTTTCTAGTAGCATCATCTTAAACTGCTCGATTGAGTGTCTTGATTGCCCTTTTCGGGCAAACCCTGATATTATTGCATTCCATGTTGCTGTTCTTTTCGAACCTCTTTCAAATACTTGCAAACAAATGCTTGTTGCATCACATTTGGAGTACGTGTCAATAAGTGTGGTTTCAACAACGATATCTGACTCAAGACCAAACCTTATGCACAATCCATGAACACTCTTGGCATGGCTTATAGAAGGTAAAATTCCACAAGCAGAGAGAAGAGAGGCCATCGTTACGGTATTAGGCCGTATCCCTGATAATTGCATATGATAACAAAGATCAAGAGCTTCTATTGCATATCCATTCAATGCATATCCTCCAATCATTGCAGTCCATGAAACGACGTCTTTATCACCAATTTGATCGTCGAATATTCTTCTTGCTTCCTCTAAGCGTCCACACTTTGAGTACATATCAATCAAAGAGTTCTTTACTGGAAGATACATTTGAAACCCCTTTTCTTTCACCAAATTATGCACCAACTTCCCACACTTTAAATCCTTCAATTGTGCACAAGCTGGCAACACCGAGACAACTGTAGCCCTATCGATCTCAAACCCATCATCCACCATTCGACCAAAAATGCTCAACGCCTCGTCAGCAAACCCATTTTGATACAAACCAGCAATCATGGTATTCCAGGAAACAACACTTTTGTTTCCCATTTCATTGAAAACCATCGAAGCCTCATCTTTTCTACCTTGATTCATGTACATTGCTATTAAACAGTTCTGTACATACTCATCTGATGTGTACCCAGAAACAAACACATTACAATGGATTTGTGAACCCAATTGGACGATTCGAATTTCTCCGCAGGCCTTGAGAGCAAAAGGGTATGCGTAGTTGTCAGCGTGAAGCCCTTCGGAAATCATTTGCGCAAACATTTTAAGTGCAACCTGGTGTTGCCCATTTTGTACATGGCCTCGGATGAGGACGCTATAGAGCGCTGGAGTTTTTCGAGGAATTTTGTCGAACAGTTTGTGAGCGTTTTGAGTATTGCCTGACATTGAGTACATTATAGTGAGTTTTGAGGCAATAGAGGAATCGAGGAGGCCTGAGGAGACGATGAGGGCGTGGAGCTGGGTTGCGGGTCGGATTGATTTGGTTCGGGTGTAGGATCCGATAAGGGAGATGCACTGGGTTCGAGTTAGGGGGGGACAGAGTTTGGGTATGGGCATTCATTCGTAATGTTGGAGAGCGGGAGATTTCAAAGTCCGTAAGAATGGACGGTAAATGATCTATTTATTCGAGGGGATTCTTGCGTAATGGTGCCGTTAATATTTTTGGGATGATTTCAGGCGGCCCACCTAGTGTTTGGCTCATTTGCGAGATGCCACCAAAAACATTTTTAAATGTCATATAATACTAGAAAGGTTTGCCCACTAGTTCCACTCAACTCTTTTGGGGTGTTATTTGACATTCTTTAAAAAGTTTTATATAATATCTCAAAATAGATCAAAATCTTCCTTTTTCACGTTAAAACGTCGATCTCTAAGTAGTTGGCGACGCGACTGAATCCTTTATAGAAAATCATACAGGAAAGCACAAGAAGTTTCGATGCGTGAGCGAACTTTGGTTGATTTATTATACATTTTAAATTCACTTCGCTGAATACGATAAGCACCGGCTTGGTTCGCGTTTCGGTCCAATTATGCTACCATAGATATGTGTAAGGTCTTTTTCATATCCATCGTTTGTGGGATCAGAATCCGTTATGAACGTGACTGGCTACCTATATGATCTCTTCACATTTCCATTTTTGTTGTTTCCTTTTCAACTGTGGCTTCTCGTTTGGTCTTCACGCCGAAATACGATTTATTCTTACGAGAGTCTTCTTGCTTAGGATTCATATGCAAACTGTTGGGGATTCTAAACGATCAATCGAACCCGTGCTCTTACGTATCTTATGCTAAGAGTTTAACAAATAGGAAAATCACCGCAAATAAAAGAAAAATTGTAGGAAAGATAAACAAGAAGGAACACACCCGATTTAACGAGCTTCGGCAACGTGCCTACGTCCTCGGGAGCCACACCACACAAACTTGATTAATTGAAGAAGATTACAATGCCCACAAATAGGTTTTTATCTCTCTGAGATATATCTCTCAAATAGCCGTCAAAACCCTCTTTTTCGTGTTCTACAAACCCTAAAAACATATCAAGGTATATATAGTATCACAGCCCAAAACAGTTTCCCGAACGATTTAGGAAACTAGAAAAACCGATTTTTGTTGATTGGACCATGGGTGTCGATCGACCGGCCAGAACACAGTTTCTTACAGGGTATTCGTGCATATTTTCGGTCGACCGGTGACCTAGCGTCAGTTGACCGGTTGACCACTCTCGGTCGACCGTCATAAAGTTTTGGTCGACCGGCCAAAGTGAGTTTCCTAGGCTGTTTTACTACAGTTGATTCGGTCAATCGGCACACGTCAGTCGGTCGACCGATAGGGGCTTTTATGCTTCTTTGATGATTTCTTCTTCAGGTTTTGGTCTTCACACTTCCAAAACCAACAATCTCCCACTTGGAGATGAAACTGCCATCAACGAGCTCTTCTGAACCCCTGCCATCTTCGCAAACATCTTCTCCTACCCGGATAAATTCATTCTTCAATCATTATCATCTCGGCGATCCCGACGATCCTCCTAGTGTGGGTCCGCCTTCATCTCCTACGCGTGAAAGCCAACTGAAGTTGCACACAACTCTAGTTTGTCGATGGTCACTGCTTTCGTCAACATATCCACAAGATTTTGACTCCCTAAAATCTTCTCCAATCGTAACTTGTCATCCTCAATCTGAGAGCGTATGAAATGGTAACGTACGTCGATGTGTTTCGTTCTAACATGATATATTAGATTCTTGGCAATGTATATAGCACTCTGGCTACACAATAAAGAACGTCGTTTCCCTGCTTCAAACCCAACTCTTCCAGGCACCCAGTCAACCAAATCATCTCCTTACTGACTTCAGTCACTGCGACATACTCTGCCTCAGTTGTGGACAATGTTACTATCTTCTGCAGATATGAGACCCAGCTCACTGCTATCGACGCTAAGGTATAAACATACCCCATGGTACTTCGCCTTGTATTATGATCACCGGCGAAATCTGCATCCACATATCCCAATAGTACCAATTCTTTCCTCCTGAAACACAATGGCATATCCGTAATCGCTCTCAGGTAACGCAATATTCACTTTACGGTCTCCCAATGCTGCTTCCCTGGATTGCTTACAAATTTGTTCACAACTCCCACTGCATGGGCAATATCCGGCCTTGTGCAAACCATCGCGTACATAAGACTACCAATGGCTGATGAATACGGTACTCTGCTCATGTGCTCCTTCTCTGTATCTGTCTTGGGTGATTTCTCCTCAAATAGCTTGAATTGACTTCCAAGGGGTAAGCCGACGGGTTTCGTATTCTCCATATTGAATCTCTGAAGTACCTTCTCGATGTATTCAACTTGACTCAACTTTAACGTCCCTTCAGCTTCATCTCTACTAATTCGCATCCTAAGAATTTGCTTCACGGCATCCAGATCTTTCATAGCAAACTCCTTTGTCAAATGCTTCTTCAACTTATTTATCTTTTATAAACACGGTCCTACAACTAACATGTCATCAACATATAATAATAACACGATATAGCTAGATTCGAACCTCTTAAAGTAGTAACAGTGATATGAATTGCATCTTCCATAGTCATTGCTCTATATGAAGTTGTCGAACTTCTTGTACCACTGTCTCGGAGCCTGTTTCAAACCGTACAAGCTCTTCTTGAGCTTACACATCATCTCTTCCTTTCCTTCTTCAATGAAGCAAACAAGTTGCTTCATATAGATTTTTTCATCCAAGTCACCATGAAGAAAGGTAGTTTTCATATTTAACTGTTCAATGTAGAAATCTTCTATAACTACTAAGCTCAACACCATTCTAATGGTTGTAAGCTTCACAATGGGAAAAATATCTCTGTATAATCCACTTCTTCCCATTATTGGAACCCCTTCATGACTAATCTGGCCTTGTACATCTTACTTCCATCACTCTCCTGCTTGACCTGATAGACCCATTTGTTATGTAAGGTTTTTTTCTGGGCAAGTAGCTGAGCTAACTCCTATGTCTCATTAGTGTGTAGAGAATCCATCTCTTCTTGCATCGTATGCTTCCACTACTAAGATTCACTCACTTGCATAGCCTCTTCATAGCACTCTGGTTCTCTGCTATCTGTTAAAAATAAATAATCTAGTGATGAGAGATATCTGGGATTCGTTTTGGTACCCTAGATGACCTCCTAAGCTCCTCACACTGGGTAGTCGTCTCTACACCTAGAGTCTCCTCTGTTCTTCGGTCAGAACTGACGTTGTCACCCCCATCTGGAAGTTTTTCCAAATCCATATACTCGGATCCACCTGCATCCATAGTGTTGCTCCCACTGCTTTGACTATCCTTGGCATTATCCATTTACTTGTACATCGCCTCCTCATTGAATATCACATCTTTGCTCCTAATGATTTTCCTGTTCTTCTCATCCTAAAGACGATACCCGAACTCATCAATACCGTATCTAATAAATGTACACTTCTGTGACTTAGCTTCTAGCTTGTCCCTGACATGATCACTGATATGAACATATGTCATGCAGCCAAATACTTACAAGTGTGAAAGATTAACTTTCTTACCACTCTAAACCTCTTCTGGAATCCTAAAATCTAATAAAACTGATGGCCCATGATTAATCAGATAAGCTATTGTATGCACCGCGTCTGCACAAAATATCTTAGATAGACATGTATGTAAACGCATGCTCCATGCACGCTCTGTCAATGTCCTGTTCATCCTCTCTGTGACGCCGTTCTGTTGCGTCGTCCCTGGAGTAGACATTTCCAAACAAATTCCATTTAGAGCACAGAACCTCTTGAACTCCTCCAGTTCGTATTCTCCACCATTGTCTGATCTCAGGCACTTCACCTTCAGATCTGTCTCGTTCTCCACCATGACTTTCCACTTTTTGAAGATCTCGAATATCTCTAACTTGTGCTTCATAAAGTATACACACACTTTCTTCGAGTGATCATCGATAAAGGTGACATAGTACCCCGAACTACCAAGAGAAGACATGCTAGCTGGACCCTATACATTTGTATGAACAAGCTCTAGCTTCTTAGCTTCCCGTAGATGCATTTCTCACAAACACCAACTTCAACTGAATCGATGCCGGTTAACTTTCCCTGTAAGTGTAGAATCTTCATACCCTTCTCCTCATGTGTCCCAACCAGTTGTGTCACAGATCTGCACTCTCCTTACCAGCTGCAATTACGAGGGTGTCACTTGCATGTGAAGTGAGGTAGAGAGTTCCTGTTTTGTTACCACGGGCAACCATCATAGTACCATTGGATATTTTCCACGAATCACTGGTGAATGTTGAAACATAGCTTTCTTCTCCAATCTAGCCAACCGAAACAAAATTCCTCTTCAGCTTCGGTACATGTCTGACATTCTTCAGATTCCACTTAGGGCCCTTCATCTGAATCTGCATGTTGCCTCTTCTAATAATACTGCAAGGCTCGTTGTCCCCCAAGTATACTTTTCCAAAGTCCTCTGCTACATAGTTCTGAATAAGCTTTTTATTAGCAATGGTGTGGAAAGAGGCTCCCGAATCAATAACACATGAATCAGACTCACTATCCATAGTAAGGATCAAGGTATCTTGCATGATATGAGCATCCTGCTCATTCACATCCTTCTTTTATGTTTTACAAACTGAAGACATATGGCCCTCCTGGTCACAGTTTCTACACTTCCCTTTGATAGGCCTAACCTTCGAGTTTGACCTCTTCTTCTTTGACTTCGATCGATTCCTGTTCTGGTTTCCCTTCTTCTAGCTTCGGCCTCTGTGCTCTAGATTTAGGGCTGAACTTGAACCTTTTGATTCAGACGATTTCCTTCTAACCTCCTTGGATAGAATCATTCTAACAATCTCGCTCAGCTTCAACTTCTCCTTTCCCATCGAGTTGCTAATTGCGGTCACGCAACCTGCCCAACTATCCGACAACTACGATAGAATCAATAGGACCTACACTTCGTTATCAAACGTGATGTCTACAGAGATAAGTTGATCAACAATCATGCTAAACTCGCTGAGGTGCATCTTGAAGGAGCATCCTTCTACCATCTTGAGGTTGAAAAACATCTTGACGAGATGTACCTTATTTACGGCTGACGGTTGCTCGTACATCTTTGCGAGCGCTTCCATAAGCCCCACTGTCGTTTTCTCCTTCAATATATTGTGGGTGATTGATTTGGCGAGCAATAATCAGATCTGCC